TGGCTGTCGAGCCGAATGGCACGCAGTCGGCACAGCAGGGTGATGTAGAGAGCACAGATGGTGGACACCGGGATAGCAAAGCCCAGCACCAGCGTGTAAAGGCGACTCGCCCGCCACCACAAGGCCTCGGGCTGTGGGAAAACCAGCACGCACTGGCGCCGGCCCTGCTCCTCGTCTAGCCTGGCGAAGATGGCAAAGGGCAGCACCACCAGCGTGACGAGCCCCCACACCGCCAGGCTCACGGCGCGTGCAGCGCCGTACGTGCGGCCAGCCACCCGGCGCGACTCGGCAGTGGCCAGCACCACCAGGTAGCGGTCGGCGCTCATGACCGTGAGGAAGTACAGACTGGAGAACGTGTTGTATTGGTCGATGGCCACGATGAACTTGCACATGAGCTCCCCGAACGGCCACTGCCTCAGCAGGAAGTCGGCGATGTTGACGGGCAGCACCAGGGTGAAGAGTTCGTCGGCGATGGCCAGGTTGAGGATGAACAGGTTGGTGACGGTCTTCATGCGGGGCGCCCGCAACAGCACGTACAGCACAGCCGAGTTGCCGACAAGCCCCACAACGCAGATCACCGCGTAGACCACCGGCACCGCCACAGCCAGCGACTGTGGCAGCGGCAAAGGCGCAGGGTTGGACGCGTTGGGGCATCCCAGCCCAGGACCCCAGCACGACGCGTTGACCCCGCCGGGTTCCAAGAACGACCCGTTGTACATCTCGACAAGAGCAGGAGAGCTGCCGACCCCCAGACTCCCACAGCCTCCCCCTCGCGTCTCCACAGCTCAGAAGCCCTCGTAGGCACACCGAGTACCAGGACCCCAGCTGCTGCTCTCCAAGAGCTTCTTTGGTTTTCCTGGGGAGGGGCGTTTCCTGGCACCCCTCAGAGCACTGTCACTGCGGGCTTCTAGGGCTAGAAAGCTGAAATGAAATCACAGATTAGACTCATCGACGTACAGCTCTAGCTAGGAGCCGAGATGGGGCCAACACCCCAAACCTCCCCCACCCCCACCAAGTGAGAGTTACCTGTTGAAATCTCTTTGCAACCAATTGAATACATCAGAGTGAAAAAACATCTTCATAGGAAAATGCAAGTCCCTCTCCCTTGTTTCAGGACACCCCTGGCACACCCGGTCACCCCACGGAATTCTGCAGAAGCATGCTTAAGTCTCCCTCAGTTCCAAGAGCCCTCGGTAAAAGCAAGCTCCACATCGATTTTTACCTTACCTGGCTAGCCTCAGAAAACAGTCTGCCTTTCCTGGAGAGGTCCAGAGGAGAGTCCGTTGGCGGTGGGAGGAGGCTGTGGCACCCGCCCGCTGGTATAAGCCTTCTGGCGCCCCCCGCCTCGTCCCCCGAGGCAGCCGCTACCGCCTCCGCGGGTCCTTCCAGAGCGCCTGCAAGTGTGGGGACTGCGCAGTGGCTGCCACAGGTCTCCACAGACACGACTGACAGTCCCCCTCCTCCCACCACCACCATTCTTAGTTAAAATCCCTTGGAACTAACAGAAAACGGCATTCCTCTAAAATATAAGGGATTTTTTTTTATTGTTGTTCCTTCTGGAAGTGTAACCTCACTCCAATAATAAAAAGCTTTCCTGTTAAGAACTGAATTTAAGAAAAACAAAGTTAAGGTGTTCATAAACTGTTTTAAAAGGAGGACAATGCGGTTGAGGCTCCCATTCTATGTTTTTAACACCATGCCCCAAAGGAAATAATGTAATTTGAATCTGCGATTGCCTGCATACCACACTGCTACACTGTAGGGGAAAGTGTATGTGATTTTAAAGTAAAAAAAAAAAAAATCATTTTCTAATACTACAGTCTTCAAAAGTTAAAACATTGTTAGTGTCAAATAAATTATTTGAGATAGTTTCACATTCTTTAAAAATACATGTGAAACTTGATTAATAAAGACAAACTGTTTCAAAATCTTTTTAGGACACCCTGTGACTTAATGCATGTTTCATAAAACGTTGCAAATTGTTCAATACATTCTCTTGATTTTCAAATACTCATTTTTAATCCTCAGGGTAATGAGAGTTACTTACAGTGTCTGCGTGGGGTTGCCAAGGCAAGCAGAGCAAAAGCAGTGTTGGACACTAATATTGCTATCTCCCTGGACCTGGGTTTCTTCCACCAGTTCCTTTGAGGGTGGAATGAAATAAATTAAATATTGTTTCTCTCCAAGTCTTTTTGCCCGCTTCACCTTCCCTTTGGTAGAGTCAGCAAATAGAAAACTAGATTGTATTCTCTAATAAACTTCCTGCTACAAAAGCAAACAAAGCTCAAATACAGTACATGTCAGGTTCTTTCTTTTATGATGCATTTCTGAGGAGATCCTGAGACAAATCTCAAGTGGATGGGGGAAGAAACCTAAAGGTTCAAAAATAAAAATGCTTTCCTTTACCTATTCTTTAAAAAAAAAAAATCAGTATCTGCATCAACTTTACTACTCTGCAATTTCATGTTTTGTTCAAATCTTTTCTCTACTGATATTTTTGTCTGTTTTTTTTAATTACTAAACATATGTGTTTATCTCCACCAATAATTGTGAATTTATCTACTTATACTTTTATTTGTCAGTTTTTACTACATGATTTGATGCTATTCTATTAAGTGCACACCAATTTGAGATTGTTGTATTTTCCCATGAAATGGATTCTTTTATCACTATAACTCCTTAACTCACTGCTCCTTGCTGTATATATATACCATTAGTTTGATATCAGAATAGCTACACTCTTTCCTTATTATCAGGGAATATCCTTCTTTAGAATCCTGTTACTTTAAATTTTTCTGTGTTCTCATATTTAAAGTATGTTCTATGTATTATTAAATTGCTAAGCCCAGCCTAACAATATTTGTCCTTGAATTGGAGTATTTAGTTCATAATTCATTTAATGCAGTTATAGATAATATTAGGGTCCCATCTTCTAAATGTTTGTATCCCCCCAAAAAAATAACAACATATAGACAATTACTAACTTACAATAGTTAACTTAAGATTTTTTAACTTTATGATAGTGCAAAAACAATACACATATAGAGACTATAGTTTAGATTTAATTTTTTTCATATTTTTCTGTTAGGATACCTGGTATGATACACTCTCTCAAGATACTGGGCAGCAGTCAGCCATGCAATCAACAATCAATGCTCTACAGTGTACTGTATTGCTAAGCTATGACATTAAGTAGGTTAGATGGATTAAATATATTTATGACTTTCGAAATTTTCAGTGTATATTAGGCTTTTAAGAACAGAATTCCATCACAAGTGAGGAGCATCTGTTCTGAAATGTTAGTGCCCTCCACCATCACAGGCCCAGACTACAAAAGCCCCAGTAAGCATGGGGCCACAAATACCCAGAAGAGCTATGGGGTGGGGCATTCCCTTGACTCCAGACCAGCAGAGCCATGTGTATGAGTATGCTGTGTGTGAATCCTGACTCTTTGCCTATCCTATGCCTCTACTACCCCTGTATCTTTGGAAGCACACAGCATGTTGGATTTCACAGCTGGAGAGCAATTTGCCTTAGAATGAATTGTACTTTGAATCTCACTCACATCTAATTTAGAAATGTAGATTAGATTTGGGGCTTTAGACTTTTGAGTTGATGCTGGAATGACTTGAGAATTTGGGGTATATTGGATTAGAATGAAAATGTTGTGTGTATGAAAAGGACAAAATTTAGGGAGACTCATGAGTAGAATGCTATGATGTGAACGTGCCCCTCCAAAATTTAACTATGAGAAACTAATTCCGGATTGATAATATCAGAGATGGGGGCTTTGGGAGGTAATTAGGTCATGAGAATGGCGCCCTCATGAATTGAGATTGGGGAGGGTTCCCTTTTCTTTTTTTCTTTTTTTTAAAGAGAGAGAGAATCTTAATATTTATTTTTTAGTTTTTGGCGGACACAACATCTATCTTTGTAGAAACATCTATCTATCTTTGAGATTGGGGAGGGTTCCCTTTTCTTTTTTTTTCTTTTTTTTAAAGAGAGAGAGAATCTTAATATTTATTTTTTAGTTTTTGGCGGACACAACATCTATCTTTGTATGTGATGCTGAGGATCGAACCTGAGCTGCACACATGCCAGGCGAGTGCGCTACCGCTTGAGCCATATCCCCAGCCCGAGGGTTCCCTTTTCTCTTCCACCTTGTGAGGTTACAGCAAGAAGATGGTTGTCTAAAAAGTGAACTAGCACCAGACTAAATTTTCTAGTAGATTGATCTTGGATGTCCCAGCCTCCAGAATGTTTGTATCCCTCACACACACAAAATAATAATAATAATAATATATAGACAATTACTGACTTACAATTTTTTTTAACTTTATGATAGTGCAAAAACAATACACATTCCATAGAGACTATAGTTTAGATTTAATTTTTTTCATATTTTTCTGTTAGGAGACATAGTGTGATACACTCTCTCAAGATACTGGGCAGCAGTCAGTGAGAAATAAATTCATGTGGTTTTTAGGCCAACTTATGGTATTTTTTATAGCAACCTGAAAGAGCTAAGAACAGGGTACATACCTACTACATTATTTGTTCTCCATTCTATTTTCCCTATCATTAGTTGTAATCTAATCATTTTTACCTCCAAACATTTCTGAATGAACACAGGATTCTGGGGGGACATCTCATATCTAAACCATAACATTAAAAATACAGAAAAATCAAAGACAAGGATAAAAATATTTTTTGGTTTTTTTCTTGTATACTTTTATTGGTTCTTTTTAGTTAAACATAACATTAGCGTTCATTTTAACATAATTATAAAAGCATGAAATATAATTTGCTCTGATTCAGTACTGAACTTCCCCTTTCTCTTTCTTCTTCCCTCCCCCATTCCCTCCTTCTACTGATCCTTCTGCTTTTAGTTATTTTTTTTTTAATTAGTGCCTTGTAGATATACATAGTGGCAAGATTCACTGTGACATATTCACATATGTACTTAGAAAAGTTAGGTCATATCCATCCCATTCTTCTTCCCTTATTCTTATCTTCCCCCTCCCTCCATCTCATTCCTTAACTGATTTTTCTTCTATTTTTATAGAATTCACACATACACAAACATACTTTTCTTAGAAAAAAAATTTTTTTAAAAAAAATCCAGAGGGAAAAAATATCTTTGCAGTAGAATAACAGGATAAGCATTATACTGGACTTCTTTGCAGAAACTGTGCAAGCAAGAGTTAATTTATTGAAAGTAAAAATCTCACCAATCTAGAATTCCATATCCAGCACAATTGTCCTTCAAAGTGGAAGAAGAAATAGACTTTCTCAGACGAACAAAAACTGAGGGTGTTTGTTGCCATATACCCATCTTTCCAGAAATACTAAAGAAAGTTCTTCAATGAAAAGGAAATTTATATAGGTCAGAATGTTGGATCTACATAAGTAAAGGAAATACATTAGAGATGGTATAAATGAAGTTAAAACATTTCATTTTTTCTTATTTGATCCAACATATTCAATGTTCAAAGCAATATATTATATATTATAGATAAAATTAATGATAAATATAATGAAGAATAGAATGGAAGGATTGGAAATGTTATGTTAAAAAGGTATTTAAAATGTACACTGAAGGGATATAATGTGATTTGGAAATGAGTTTAGGTTTAGTTGTAAATCTATATTTCAAATTCCATGGCACCACTAAACACTTTTAAACCTATAATTGATATGTCAAGAGAAGGGATAAAAATGAATAATAAAATGTATAATTAAAACCAGCCATGTGCAGTGGTGCACTCCTGTATTCCTAGCAACACAGGAGCCTTAGAGGATCGCAATTTTGAGGACAACCTCAGCAATTTAGTGACGTCGTCAGCATCTTAGTAATATTCTGTACTGTGGGAGACCAACTTTGCATGTGACTGAGTCACACTCCTCGGCTGGGTGCTGAGGCACTTAGAGAAATGTGGCAGAGCTTTCCCCACCTTTCTTAGCTTCCAGGGTCAGTGCATGGGTGTGTCTTGCTACAGCCCCATGGGTGAAGCTATGCTCACCTGTTCCTTTGTAATATAACCCCTTGCCCTGTTTAGGATAGAATCTTCCATGGAAGTGCCTTGTGTGTGTCCCCTCCTCTTACTGTGCTCTTAGGTGTGGCCTACCCAAGTGTCAGTCAACCTGCTGACAGTGGACATCATGAAGATAGATTCATGATAGACCCCCTGAAACCTGACCCCTTGCCTCATTTGAATAGCTTTCTCCT